GTCTAGTTGTTGATTTCTGGGTTTGTCAGTTGGGTGGGTGTTACGTTGTTTGTTTTTTGTTTCTTTTCTGGGTTTTCCTATGGTGTGATAGCTGTGTATTGCCCGTTATACTGGCCTGCTCAGCTGGTGTGTTCACAGGCAATGGCTTCTGGTGCTGGAGCCTGGAGTGCAATGATGAGTTGTGGGGAGTGAGGTTGGGAGGAGAGGTGGGTTCTACAGGAGAGGTGGGCTGGGAGGAAAGGAGGCTATAGTTGGTGATCTGTTGATGCTCTGAAGAAGAGACTGAGCGATTAGGTCTAGAGGGAGAGGGAGAGATAGAGATTGAAAGAGAGAGAGAGAGAGAGAGAGAGAGAGAGAGAGAGAGAGAGAGAGAGAGAGAGCTGAGAAGGTCTGTGGGCAGCCTACCTAGTTTTCTGGCAGGTGTGGCCTGTATCTCAACAGGAGGTACCTGTTTAAGTTGAGGGCTGGGGTACAATGAGTGGGGGAGGGACGTTAGGAGTGGATAGTCTATGGGATCCACAGAAGATGTAGATGGGTGGGGTGGGAGGATGAGAGACTGGAGCTGGTTCTCTTGTATCACTAAGGATGAGACTGAAGGATTTGGTCTGGGGGAACAAAGAGATCAGAAAAGGTCTGCAGGTGGCCTACCCTGTCATTATAAAATGTAGTTTTCTTTTATATTTAAAAGTGGGTATGGATAACAATATTGAACAGAAGTCTTTATCCAGGTAAGACTATATAAATTAGAAATACATGGAGTAATTGGTGAGTCCAAAGATAAGGAAGTATTATTTTTGAGTGTACCTTAAGATAGACACAATACTATGTGTTCAATGCTTGCTGTGTCTTATAGTAACCACAGGCAGTTTGCAAAGTATCTATGTTACTAAAAACTCTTTAGAACTGCTTAGACATCTGCTGCCCTGATTATTTGGCCTATGGTCCTGGCTCTGCAATGCATCTCTTGCCCTTCTGTACAGATCAAAGTGCAGAACTACCTCATATCAATTCAGAAAGTTAAGTTGTATGACTTGGCTGTGGCCTATCCTCAGAAGCTGGGTTATATAGGCTGACAGCCTGTGTGAATAATTTTGACAACTGCAGTTGGATCTCACACCTTATGATTTATCACTGAAGTTTTAAAGGCAGATCTCAGATGTGGCAGACATCCATAGCTTTTACATGGGAAGAATCAGGTGACCTTTGTTGCTGCAAACCGCAGGAAAACAATGGAATTCAGCTACTATCACAAAAGCTACTACTTGGAAAAGTCAAGGACTTTTCCGAAGGTCAAGCCGTGGCTCAAAGAGTCTTGGTGATATTTTAGCTTTTGTATGTATATTAGCTGGTTCCTGCAGTGATTTTCTTGTAATATGTGTGCTTCCAAGAACTCCTAACAGTGTATTTACCTAAAATACCTATAAGCATCCAAGACCAAACAAAACAACACCTGTCTCCTAGGTCAGGCAGATAGCTTTATTTCTTGTGCAATTTAGGGTGAGACCCACCTTTCTTATACAACCTTACTAATAGACCCCTAACTCCTTACCTAACCACTTCTAGGAATGTAGACTGAGCACACAGATCCCCTTCTTGATATACTAACTGATCATTGGCTCTCAGTTGACCTCCTCCTTTACCACTCCCTTTTTGGGTTGTAAAAGAAAGCCTGGTGGTTGCTGCTTAAGGAAAATTCTTACCTGCCTTTATGACCTCGTAAGAGTTCAAGCCTAGTGACCTTGCTCTGCCAGAGGATTGCTATTGCTTGGGTTCATAACTGGATTCCTGAGAGACTTAGAATGGAGAGAATAAGGAGAGAAAGAGGAGGAGAGAGAGTGGGGAAAGAGAATGGAAAAACTAGATGGGTAAGAACTGGAGAGGGATGGAAAAGATGGGAAGAACTGGATTGAAGGGCTAAAATAGAATACTAGAGGAACGAGATGGAAGATGAGGAAGAGTCAGGTGGGGAAGAACAAGATGAGAAAGAAGGAGATGGGAGAGGAGCTAAGATGGAAAAGAACTAGATGGATGAGAACCTAGATGGGGCAGAACTAAGATGAGAGAATTAAGTTAGAACTGAGAGGGGACAGCAGATAAAGGTAGAGAGAAATCAGGCAAGAAAGGAGCTAGGCACGAGAACAGAGCAGAAACTGTATATAGAGAGAACTGACACAGAATAATGAAGTGTGTGGACTAAGGAGATTCGTGTACATAGATTCATTTCTTTTCCTGTACATTCATTCATCAAAGATTAAATTATCAGCTGGTTGTAGAATTCTTCCCAGACCCTGGGAGGGGACTATCAAGGGACCAGACCCCCCTAGTCCTCAATATCTGGCACCTAAACAGGATACTCATAGGACCAGGGTTTTAGCTACTTTGCGGATCTAAGGTGATACAGACCCAGGTATTTTCATACCTCGTGAGTGGTGAGTAAAACTGCATAGATAGGATTGGCTTAGAAGAATAAAGTGAATGGACTAGAGAAAGCTGTATAGAAAGAACTGACTTAGAAGAATGAAGTGAATGGACTAGAGAACTCCGTGTGCTTAGATTCATTTGGTATCCCTCAGATTAGCATCCTTAGCCGCTTGTAGCATCTGTTCTGGACCCTGATAGAAATCTCAAGGTAGCACTTGGGGGAATTCATTACTTTGTAGATGAATGAAGAGCATCAATATGTAGATTATATGTAGACCTACATAGGCCATGTAGATCATGGCCTATGAATACTAGTTAGCATTAGCTTAGAGGAGTTGTTTTTGTTTTTAAGAGGAAGGTCCTCTAAATATCCCTAGATGGCCTAGAACTCACTTTGTAACCAAGGATGGACTCAAAAATCATAGAAATACTAACTTTTGACTTAAAGGATATTTGTAATTGATTACTTACTAATGTTGTAGATTTCTGTTGCTAGAACCACACCCTTTCTTGATTTTTAAAAAAAGCATTTTTTCTTTCTTTTCTTCTATTTTTTCATTTTTGAGAATTAAATATTCATTTTCATCAGTTCACAGATCAAAAACATCTAGAATTTCAGGATTTTAAGGACTCTTAGAGATGTAGTAAAATACATGTTAGTATTTCTTGTGTTTCATTTCCTTCCCAAGTGATGCTTCCACTGGGGAGGCCTGAAGTTCAAACATGAGAGTAATTTTTGTCGACACAGCACATGTCACAAATGAAATTTTACTCTAGCTTCTGAGTTGTAAAGCTGGTAGTCTAAAAACCCAGCTGGCAGCCTCCTCATTTACCTACAGGTATGTGAGTGTTTAGTAATAAAATGGAGAGCACAGGAAGTAAAACCCATGGAGGAGGAAAGTGTGGACTTAGCAGGTTAACCCCCTGTAGGAGACGGGCTGAGTTTACAGTGGAAGGTGGAGCCTGAAGAACATTGGTTTGGGTAGCAGCGAGGGTTCTAGAAAAGTGGTGAAAACAATGGGGCGTGTGGCAGGAGTGACAATGGTGACAGGAAAACTCAAGTTTAGAGACTAAAATGATCACAAAGGCCATTAAAACCGGGAATTGAAGCGAGTCCTGAAAATGCTGTTGCTGTCCCGACTGCCTAGTTGGAGGACCTGAAGATGTCGAGCTGTCTGTTGAAAGGTCCCGGTTTGGGGCTGGGGAGACAGCCCTGTTAATGAAGTGCATCTTCTGTAAATGTGAGACACTTGGATTCAAGCACACAAGCAAAGGCCCAGGCGTGATTGCACACGCCTGTCCATCCATCACTGGGGAGGCAGACTTTCAGGTATTCCTATCGATTGCTGAAAACCGAATGGAATAATGGATTTGTTCCCTGGTGCAGTGAGACAACTGTGTACGATGGATGGCACCCGAGGAGAAAGCACACTGATGTCCACTGTCCTACACACACACACACTGGCACATGTGTGTAGACACATGTGCAAACACACACATACACTGGCACATGTGTCTATACACATGTGCAAACACACACACACACTGGCACATGTGTCTATACACATGTGCAAACACACACACTGGCACATGTGTCTATACACATGTGCAAACACACAACACACTGGCACATGTGTCTACACACATGTGCAAACACACACACTGGCACATGTATGTATACACATGTGCAGACACACACACACACACAGATGTGAATGTGATTTGAACCCCTTAAAGAGGTCTCTGTAGCAGATATGCTTCGGTACCCAATACTCTTTATCAGTTTACATAAATAATTAGTCTTCACCCAGGTGTAGACAATGGACAGGGCAGAGTGCTTAGTCTTCAACCAGAGTCAGCCGCTGGGGAAGATGCAGACCACCTCCTGTCTTGTTTTAGCAGTGGATTCAGTTCAGTTCAGGTAGCAAATGTATGTACTCGTTAGGGGAATTGTCAGCTCCAACTTTAAGAGAGGCAATTTGTACAGGCAAAAGTCAATACATTGGTGATTGACTCTGTGTGTGTGTGTGTGTGTGCGTGTGTGTGTGTGTGTGTGTGTGTGTGTCTGTGTGTGTGTCTGTGTGTGTCTGTGTGTGTCTGTGTGCAGGCTTGGAGGTAAGAGGAGGATATTGGTATCTTGCGCTATCATTCTCTATCTTATCCACTTGATATAAGGTCTCTCAAGAACTTGGAACTAGACTTGCAGCCAGCAAGCCCCCATGATGCCCTGTCTCTGCCACCCACAGTCCTGGGGCTGCAAGTGCATGCCCAGTTTTTTTACATGTATGATGCAGATTAAATCCAGGTCCTTGTGTGTAGGCACCAAGCACTCTTAATTTCTGAGCCATCTCCTAAGCTGCTGACTTTTTTGAAAGATTGGGACTATCAGTGAGTCTTTGTTGAACGGTTTATAAATTGAAATAAGTTAAAGCTCACAAAATCAACCAAAAGTTTTAAAACATAGGATGACTTTGAATTACATAAATGCAGAAATGTCACTTAATACATTAGTACTGGATCTTTTCTCCAGAGTTGCTCAGATGACCTAATCCTGCCATTATTGCATGTTTTTTCCCTAAAGGCTCTCTGACAAACCTGATCCTGATGTCCCTGGGACTACAATAGAAGACAATGACAGTACCTCTGTTATTAAGGTAAAGGGCACCTTAGTGAAATTTACTTTTTTATTATTTTTGTTAAAATACAGCAGCATTTTATGTAAAAGTAAGCAACAAGTCCCTTCAGGGAGCAGTGGCCAATGAAGAGAATGACCTGGAAACACATAGTGGTAGAAGATTGAGTGCTGGTCTCCCACAATAGTTTGATGTTTGCCCGAGGATTGTTTGCAGAAATAAATGCACATTGATTTTAAAACACACCTCTGGCAATACACCTAAATACATAATGGTTCCAGTTAGTAATTTCAGTGATCTGGGAGTCTTTACTTTTACTTTACAGTTGCCTTTACTTTTAGCATAAATGCCAGTAGGTTCTATGCTCCTATTTTATGACCATATATGAGAGCATCTCCTATATTTCTGTTTTTGCTTCTGTATTCAGACTAACAAGAAATTGTGGAAATTTAGACATGTGTAATCTGTTCATCAAAATTTGCATTATGAAGAGTTTGCACCGTGTTTTCATTTGATTCCATTAAGAATATATTTAAAACTCTTCATCTAGTTAAAAAATATGTGATATTCTCCAATTAGCTACCAGTTTTGGAAATAATGATTCATACTATATAATAACATTTTAAGTTTTGATTTTTTGTTTTTCATTTTAAAATAATATGTGCTTACATTCTAGGATTTGAAATAGAAGAAGGCTTTTATTTAAATATATAATATTCATGTTAAAACTACTTTATAACCATGAACTCCTAGAGGTGTGTGTAACCTGGAGCCCTAGAGTGAGGGTTTGTGTGAATCATAAGTTGCATTTTAATGATTCTGAGTGTGAATAATGGACAAACGGGTTTCTAAAGCATTTCACAGGTACCTTGATAAGGATTACACTAGTAATTAAATCAGTGTTTACTTCTAAAGAAAAATATAAATGGAAAATAATTACATTTTTCACCTCCCAACCATCAAAGAAGAGAGAGATTGATGAAAATAGAATGATTAATATTAATAATCAATCATCTTATACAGAATTTAGAAGTTTTGAAAACAGTGAATTAAGTTTAGTTAAAA